CTTAATTAATTCTTGATCAATAATAATTGAATAATCTTATTATTCTTATTATCAATATACTAGAACTTATAATATATTAATAACCATAAGTGTCTTATTTCTCTCATTATAGTCTATCCAAGTGCATGATGCCATGCAACCCAAATGGACCATGCCGGGTCGGGTCAAGTCTTACCAATTATAGTTATGGACTTAGACATTAATCCAACATGTTTTTCTTAACCCTCTTAGTTATTTCGAAATTACACTAGTAGTATTAGGGGTTCCCAATTGATTTTCAAATGTTGTATGTTCAATTAGAGAAAACATAGATCGGGAAAATTAGGGTTGCATGCACGCATAGGTTTTTGTTTGTTATGCTTAAAACCCATCATAAACACCAAAGCACTTAAAGATACTAATCCATATGAAATGCAGACCGGTAGAAAACCAAATGTAGGGCATCTCAGGGTGTGTGGGTGTGTTGCACATATGATGATAACAAAGGGTCATCTAAAGAAATTAGATGAAGAGAGCAAGAGGGCTGTTCATCTTGGATTTGAAAAAGGTACAAAAGCATACATGTTATTCGATTCGGATTTTGGGCCATACCAAGAAAATCAGATGTGGGCTACTGGGGGGTCTCAAGTTAATAAATTAGTAGAAACATAAAATTGGTCACAAGCCATAACTTCTCAAGTGGACCTTTACACAAGCCTATATCTGAGCCCTACGAGTACTCCACAGACGCACCCATCTACTCCAGTTACTCTAGCCACGTCAAGTTCATCAACCATCTCAAGTGTCATTTGGAAGTTCAAGATTGGCTCTACAAAGCTTACCTGTTCATAGACGAAGAAGCCAACTAAGTTGACAAGATTGCTAAGTTCACTTAAGGGGAGATTATTGATACATGAAAAGTGAACCTCTAGCAATCCCAAGAAATCAAGTTCCAAAGTCAGCTTGTGTCCAAGATATGATGAAGTTCCGAAGGTAAATCCATTTCGAGATCAAGATGTTCAGAAGTCAAAAGTCTGTACATGCATTTAATGCGTTTTGTCTTTACTTTGATGTAATAGTTCATATGACTAAGACGTGTGTATCTTTTAGATGTCAGTTTGCCAAACACCGATCATTATCTAATCCTTAGAATGTTTTAATGGTGTGTACTATGTTCCTCCTTCACTATTTAAGGAGGGATTGTTTCAAAAGTTGGATATTAAAATATTAATCCAAGAATAACAATTATTCTCTTCACATCATTTTCAAATTTCTTTCAAGTCAAAGCTCTTTCTTTACATTCTTCTTGTTCTTAAATTACCTTTGTATTGATCATACTCAAGTTTACTTCATTTATTACTTGAATACTTTGTTGATTGATTATCTATTTTCATGTCTTGACTAGTTTACTAGACTTGACTGGACCAATACATCAGAAGCAGACATCGATTAAGTGTTAATTCCATGTTTGAGTTTTCAAACCTTGTACGCACATAAATATTGTTCTCACAAAGGGTCCATGGTGTCATCACATACATACCATTGTTTGAGGAAGACTTTTTCCGAATATGGAATTATGAGAGGCAAGATTAGGGTTGAATGTTTGAGTTAGTGTTGAAGATTTGAGAGTTTAAAATATATGAAGAGAAAAAGATTCATTTCAATCTATTGCATTTCCAATACAATCTCAATGATTAATATTTGTAATGATTTCACATAATAACCATCGAAAGCTTTACGTCAATGCACTGTAATCATTAATTATATTCCCACATTATAATATCATTTAAAATAAATTTATAAAACACTATATATATATATATATATATATATATATATATATATATATATATATATATATAATATTAACATAGTTACAAAATATTATAAATATGGCTTAATATTTAGGATTTATGTTAAATTCAAATTTCTAATCCCTAACATGCCTCCCTTCATACTTTAATATTTAACAATATAATTCAAGATAGACAATAGGGGCGAAGTTTTCGGCTAAGAACTGGGTTTCGAATAATCTTTTTCATTGAAAACATTATTTTTTATACAACAAAGTCGGACTTCATTGTCTAATTAATATCTCACTCTTCTCAATGAAGATAGTTTTCTATCTTTAGTATCATATATTATTTATACTTGGCATAGAGATGGTTGGTGGGTACGGAAGATTATCAGAAAAATATGCGAAAAATATTTGGTGTATTTTCTGCATCTAAAAGAATAGCTTGTATTCAGTATAGATGAACTAATGATTCATCAAGACTAGGTTGATGATGTTTAGGTTAATTTTTGCAAAAAAAAAAAAAAAGAAGGTTAGATTGTGTTTTTAAATATATGTTTTTTGAATAACGCAACTTTAAAATTTGTCTAATGGTTAAATTACATATTTGTTGATGTGAATAACTTGAGTTTGTGCATGTATTTGTAAGTCTCCATGGGTATATCGTATATATTTGTGTACATGTTTAGGTTGGGCATGTTTGGATTTTGTATTTATATATGACTGACAAGTAGATGTTCTTTGCTTTAGCAAAAGTGGTATTTCCATTAGAAGCTCAACCCGACTAGGTGTAGATCACAAATATATGATTACGTGCTCTTTAGTTTACCATTAATATCTGTAAATACAAACATCTTATTGTATACAAGTTCACACGATGCTGTAAGTATCTATTTTTGTTGTGAAATTTAAGTGAACTTGTTTTGAAGATCAATACTTTCATGTCCATGTTTACATGGGTCTATCACCTAATATGATTATACAAGACAAAAGTCAAACAATATGTTATTTTTACGAAAACAAACTTCTAACTGGTCAAAAAGGTCTGAAAATAAATCCAAATAATTTTCAAAAATTGCATTGTAAAGAAACTCACAACAACTAGTCGGATCCTGTGAAGAATATTGCAAAATTCTATATACCCAAACATATATGACTGTTTTTTTTATTAGTTATAACTTTTATTATTAATTAGTTGTACTTTTTTATTGATAAAATGTTATTTTGATTATTAGTTTCATATTTTTATTGGTAAAATTTTGTTCTTATTAGTTTTTGTTTATTTTCAAAAAGGGTGGGAAATCAGAGAGAGAAAGATAATACTATCTTTTATGTATGAAAGATGGTTTAAGTCTTTAAGGATGAAATAAAAAAAAGGTAAAAAAAACTGATATGATAGTTATATACAACAAAGATCGTTAAAGATGGGGTGGACAAATTACACCCGTGAGTTTTTAATATTTTTTAATATTATTTTACTTTTTGCATGTACAGATTGATATTAATACAACCGTATCAAAAATAATTTTTAAAGAGAGAATTTAGAAAATAGCTAAAAACAATGGGGTGGTTTGAAGAAAATAACCAAGGAAAAATATATTTTACAAAATGACCAAAGGATCCGCAGAGCACCCTCTGCGGATCTATTAAGCCCTCTGCGGATTTGCTACACATCTGCGGAATGTAGTTTTTTTTTTGTTTTTTTGTTTTTTTTTTTATTAATTTTTGACTAAAGGATCCGCGGAGCACCCTCTGCGAATCTATTAAGCCCTCTGCGGATTTGCTACACCTCTGTGGAATGTAGTTTTTTTTTTTTCAATTTTTTTTTCATTTTTTTTGCGTTAATTTTAGTTTATTAATATTATTTTTTTAAATACACTAATACATTATGTTATTATTATGTAAATATTTGACAAAAAAAGGTTTTTTTTTCGTTTTTTTTTTTTGCATTAATTTTAGTTTATTTATATTAAATTTTCTTTTAAATACACTAATTATCGTATTACGTTATTTATATGTATTTCGTTTGTATTAGGTTATTTAAAAAAATATTTAAAAAATTTAAAAAACCAACATTCCGTAGAGCTGTAGCTAGATTCGCACAAGCTTTAATGGATCCGCTAAGGGTGGATTCCCAAAAAGTTCTGTGGACTGATATCAAACATAAGTTTATTATTTTTAATATTTTTTTGTCAAATTATTTACTTAATCACATAAGGTATTAGTGTATTAACAAAAATTAATATTAATAAACGAAAATGAACGCAAAAAATAAAACGAAAAAACGAAAAGAAAAATCAAAAAACAGCAATTCCGCAGAGCTGTAGAGGATCCGCAGAGTATTTAATGGTTCCGCGGAGGGTGTACACTGATCTGTAGAGATATACACTGATCCGCAGAGGTGTATACTGATCCGCTGATAACGGTTATGTGGATTCTCAAACAGTTATATGGACTGATATCGAACATAAGTTAATTATTTTTAACATTTTTTTTGTCAAATTATTTATATAATCACAAAAGGTATTAGTGTATTTAAAAAAATATATTAATAAACGAAAATGAACAAAAAAAAAGAAAACAAAAAGACGAAAAAAATAAAAAAACAACAATTTCGCAAAGGTGTAGTGGTTCCGCAGAGTAGCTAATAGATCCGCACAGAGTGCTCTGCGGATCCTTTGGTCATTTTCCAAAATCCATTTTTCCTTGGTTATTTTCTTTTAACATCCTTTTCTTTTTTTGTTATATCACAAATTTTCTCATTTTTAAAAGGTCCCTATATTATAAATTTTTTAATATATTTTAATTTGTTAATGTAGCAATTAATATTTTTGAAAAATAAAAACGCCTTTATAAATCCCCATTGTCATCCCTGCTCGGTTGCGTGTCTGGCTCATAAATCAATATCCAAATCATCACTTCACTCCTGTCGATTCCACCATCGAATTCGTTAATGGATTCCTTTCTCCCTTTTAATATCATTAATTAAAGAACGATTTGTGGGTCAAAAGCTCTTCAAGTCTTAGTCAACTTTAGCCCCTGCTTTTTTTTCTTACCACCCCCAAATCCCTCGAATCACTCCATAGATCTCACACCCAGCTCTACCATCTAGGGTTCTTGATGAAATCTCGCTCTTGAACCGGATTTACTGTTGTTTTTGCTGGTATCTTGCATGAAATAGCAGAACAAAGTTTGGCAAGTGTTTGCAGCGACTCAATCGACACCCACACGTCCATTTCTATGGAGTTTTAAGTGGGGCTAACTTCGGCTGAAGTGTGTTAGACAACACTGGTTTATATAAACTGGGTGAGATGCATTTGTAGAGTAAATTCATTCTGCTCGGACTTCGGAGGATTTCAAGTTAAAAATGGCGCTCAAGCTTCCAGCTGTTGAAGCTGCAAAATTTGCGATTCAATCGATTGGATGTGGTTATGATATCTCATTAGATCTGAGGCTTAAGTATCGCAAAGGTGAATCTTTCTCAGATGTTGGTGCTAATCAAAATCGAAATTGCCGTTTGATCGAAATTGAGGAGGATGAAGGTAGAGACATTGTGCTTCCTGGTGGTCTTCTAATCCCTAATGTATCCAAATCCATCAAATGTGATAAAGGCGAGCGTACTCGATTTCGGTCTGATGTTCTCTCTTTTCAGCAGGTATGGATAACTTTACTTTTTTTGTGCTTTTAATTACTACTTTATATGCAATGATGTATCCGCTTTAATCATGCGGTTTGAATTTCCTTATGCTATTTCTTTCTAGAAATGGATAAATTTGCCTTTAATATATAAGTTTCTGCATTTTTTATGGGCAGATGTCGGAGCAATTCAATCAGGAAATATCATTAACTGGGAAAATTCCTTCAGGCCTCTTTAACACCATGTTTGAATTTTCTGGAAGTTGGCAGAAAGATGCATCCAGTACCAAAACCCTAGCTTTTGATGGCGTTTTCATCTCTTTGTACACTGTTGCATTAGAAAAATCTCAAATGGTACTCTGTGATCATGTCAAGAATGCTGTTCCATCTTCATGGGAGCCTGCTTTGTTAGCAAGGTTTAGATTCAAACCTTTTCATACCCTTAAATCTTTCAATGCTAGACATATATATGTCATCTGTCTTTTTATTCATTGATAAAATTATTTATTTTTCTTCCTTCTTCTGTTTATTCTTGAAGGTTTATTGAAACTTTTGGCACTCATATAATTGTGGGTGTAAAAATGGGTGGAAAAGATGTTATATATATGAAACAACAGCATGCATCATCCCTTGAACCTGCTGATGTACAGAAAAAGCTAAAGGCAATGGCAGACAAAAGATTTGTGGACTCTGATGGACAATTTATCATTGATTCTGAACACATTTCTCAAAATGACAAGGTACTTTTGTTATGAGCAAATTTCAGGAAATAGCAACCTACTTTACTCTTTTGTACCAATATAGGCAATTTACTTTACTTTTTAACCCTAATAACAATGTGTTTATGTTTCTTTACCCATAATAGCAATGTACTTACATTTTTTTTCTTGGTAATAGCAGTGTATAATTAATAACTTGTCAAATGTAATATAAGTATGTTGCTATTATGGGTAATATAGAAAACTACATTGCCAATATTGCTATTTCCCACAATTTGCCTATTTTTGTTATTTGTAGTTTATTCTTTAGATTGTTTATAATCATCTTATCAGGCTATTTTTGATTCAGTATAACAACAGAGAGCACAGACTAAGGTTCGCAGATACAGACCCCTCTAGCTCTTATACTTATAAGGAGGTATCTATCCTCTTGCAATTTTTTTTCCTATGATATAACTGAATTTCTGTCGTTTGTTTCAAGGTTAAATGCAAGAAATAGCAACATGCTTTCATTGATATGTCCATTATTTCATCCTGCTTGTATTTCTTCATATTATATTTTGAAAATTCTACCCAGTTATAGCAGTGGAATGCAAATTAAAAGCAATTTTTACTTCTTAGTTTGGTAGATTTTGAAGGTATAAGAAAAAAAAAAAAAGTAGAAACTAGAATGCTATAACATAAATAAATGAAAGTAGGATGCTGCAATACACAAATAAATCAAAGTATGTTGCTAAAATTGATTGTTTTCAATTGATAGCAGGATCTTGTAAGCATTTGCAAAAGGAGAGGTGGAAGTGATGATAGGAACTTAAAACATAATGAATGGTTACATACAGTACAATCAGAACCAGATGTGATCACAATGTCCTTCATTCCAATAACCTCTTTGCTAAATGGTGTTTCGGGAAGTGGATACTTGAGTCATGCCATAAATCTCTATTTACGCTGTGAGAAAATGACCATTTTACCCTTCTTCCCAGATTAGGTTGATTTCTCAGTTAAAACAATAACTTTAAGGTTTTGTTTACAGATAAACCACCGATCGAAGAGCTCCATCAGTTTTTGGAATTTCAGCTACCGAGACAGTGGGCCCCGGTGTTCAGTGATCTCCCCCTGGGCCCACAACGCAAGCAGCAAAGTACAGCGTCTTTACAGTTCAGCTTTTTCGGGCCCAAGCTCTATGTGAATACCAATCCGGTAATTTCAACTTTTCTTTTTTCTCAATGAGCTTAATGGGTTAAGCACTTATCAACTTAGTTTGTTTTATTTTGGAATATAAGGGCAAAATGGTCATTTACTTTCTAATCATTTTACTTTTTGGTAAATAGGTTGATGTAGGAAAGAGACCCGTAACGGGACTCCGGCTTTACCTCGAAGGTAAAAGAAGCAACCGGTTAGCAATCCACCTGCAACACCTCTCCTCCCTCCCAAAAATCTTCCAACTAGAAGACTCCGTAACCGGAACCGGAATCTACAATTCCGATTCCGACGACCGCCGCTACTACGAAAAAGTCCAATGGAAACACTTCTCCCACGTCTGCACCGCCCCGGTTGAATCCGAAGACGAACACTCAATCGTAACCGGGGCCCACTTACATGTAGGGGACCACGGCTTCAAAAAAGTCCTCTTCTTACGTCTCCACTTCTCAAAACTTCTCGGTTGCACTGCAACCAAGAATCCAGAATGGGACGGGTCCCCGGGCTTAGCCCGGAAATCCGGCCTCATTTCGACTTTGATAAGCCACCATTTTACCGCGGTCTTAAAACCGCAACCTCAACCCGTTGACATTAACATAAACTCAGCTATTTATCCCGGGGGCCCACCGGGCCCGGTTCAAGCACCGAAGTTGTTGAAGTTTGTGGACACAACGGAGATGATGCGGGGCCCGCAAGAGAGCCCGGGGTATTGGGTTGTGTCTGGGGCCCGACTTGTTGTGGATAAGGGAAAGATTTCGCTTCGGGTCAAGTATTCTTTGTTGACTTTGGTATTGCCTGATGAAGAAGAAGAAGAAATGGTGGATTAGGTGATGATATGTTTGTAGGTTGTTTTGAACTTTGTATTTTGGAGATATTAAGGTTATATAATGTTTTTTTTTTTCAAGTGATTTGCGTTAGTTATATCTGTTTCGGCTTTGGTTTTTTGTTTTTGTTTTTTTTTTTTTTTTTTCCTGTGTGATGTGTTAAGAAAAGAAGGTACATTTGTGGTGTTGGGGGTTGGTTTTCCGAGCAATTTGCAATGGTATGTACGAAGGTGACAGTGTTCGACTAATTTATTTATAAATGAAGTGATTTGGATAATATTTTATGTTTGAATTTAGTGGGTGAAATAGATAAGTTCAGCTTAAAAGGAAAGGAAAGGGGGAATTTGAGGATTTTACTTAAAATCTTACATTTAATTGTTTGTAATTATATAATTTAATATTAGATAAGAGACTTGGTTACGTAATTGGTAATTGAAGATGATGTGGAAGTCATTTTCAATCTGAAAAGCATTAAGAAGTTTCATAATTGATCGACTCTGTTATAACTTATAAAGCCTGATTTCTGAGGAGTTGCAGAACTCATATTGTGTCGATAAATTAAATAAATATTGCTTAACGCTTAAAGCAAAGGGATCCGTGGCGCAATGGTAGCGCGTCTGACTCCAGATCAGAAGGTTGCGTGTTCGATTCACGTCGGGTTCAATCCCCTTTAACATCTCATATACTTTTTTTGGACTTTCACAAATTACCCTTGCACTATTCTTGTATACTTTCCTTTGAATCATTTGTACACATCCCTTTGCCTCCTCGTCATATAAAAAGGCCTCCTCGGCATATAAAAAGAGAAACTCTGATTCAAGTGTGTATTACTTAAACGTGATTTACCTCGTTATACACCTTAGGCACATATATTCTTGTCAGCAACATATATTTGGGGAAATGATTCGCACATAACAATTTTTTGTCATATACAACAATTTATGCATTATAGAGTATACACACTACAACACTTTAAAACACTAATTGTTGTGTATGGAGAAAAATTGTTGTATACAAATCATCTTACTAATTTCGGGGTTTTGCACCCTATTTAAGCATCTTAATCCCCACCTTTTGGCCTCATTTCCAACCTCCAAGTCCTAAATCCTAATTCACGAAACCCTAGAGCATTTTGTGAGTGTTTGAGCCATTCTTGAGTGTTTTTGTGTGTTCTTAAAGCTAGAAAAAGAAGGAGCTAGAAGGTTCAAGGAGAAGATTGTATATCCAGAGATTTCCTTTCATCCTCATCACTTTTTGGTAATCAAGCGTCTAACTTGATCATTCATTTATTAGATCTACTTCCATTTTTATGAAGGTTTTGGTTCAAGAACCTTGGTCTTTGGGATTTGGACGTCCCAAGTGACTTAAATTTCAGATCTGGGATCTAGAAGGGGTTCCATGGCATAAAGGTGCAAACTTTATGACCATAGAAACCCCATGCTAGCTTAAAAACTTTATTATGGCCTTTTTAGCCTTAAAAGGCCATGCATGGAAGGAAAGCTAGGAATTTTACATGCCCAATTGATGTCCAAGGCCTGGATCTAGTATAATATGCTTTGGTTTAGAGTATTATGGCTTGTAGACCAAGATCTATGTCCTAGAGAGTTAGGGTTTGAGCTAAACCCTTTAAGAAGGACTAATAGCGGGTAATTGAAGATGATGTGGAAGTCATTTTCAATCTGAAGGTTAAAAGCTTAATCCATTGAGATGGCTCAATCAGACAGAGGAACTCGGCGAGTCCATAGAGGGACTCGACGAGTTGAGTTGGTTTGTCCCGTTTTAGTATAAGCTAGAACTCGATGAGTCGGTGAAGGGACTCGACGAGTTGACTAGGTAAATCACGACTCTGAGTAGCCTAGGAGCTCGACGAGTCAGGGGATGACCCGACAAGTTAAATCGCAATTTTAGATTCTAGGACTCGGCGAGTTGATGGGGCAACTCGATGAGTTGAGTCAACCGGAAGGTTGACTTTGACCAAAGTGTTGACTTTGAGCAGTGGTAAAATGGTCATTTTACCCTAAGGAGAATTATTAGGTTTTGACTAAGTATTATTATGGGAATAATAGTCGACGAGTCGTGGGAGCAGCCATCGGAGATTCTTCACTCGATATTTCAGCAGTCAGCTTTGCGAGGTAAGTCCTCTTCCAATAGGAATGGGTCTAAGGCACCAAGGCCGGCCCGTTTATGTATGTTAGCAATACCGAGGTTAGCCCGATGTAGTTATATGTTTTTGGACTTCGGTCCGATGTCGGGGAAAGTCGGAGGAATGTTTATATGCTTGTTGTCTTCGTGATTCTTGCATGTATTACTTTATGTGTTTCGGACTTCGGTCTGACGTCGGGGCAAGCCCGAGGAAGATCTAGCTTATATGTTATGTGTTATGTGTTCCGGACTCCGGTCCGATGTCGGGCAAGCCCGAGGAATGCTTATATGTTTATGTTATATGTTTGTGTGTTATATGCTTGTTTCTATGTTATATGTATACCGGACATCGGTCTGATGTCGGGTGGGGCCCGATACCAGTGGGGCCAATGTTGGACTTCGGTCTGATGTTGGGCATGGCCCAATGAAGTAGGCAAGGCCCAATGTATGTTATTATGGTATTATATGTATGGTATGTGGTAGTTTGGGGAGACTCACTAAACTTCGTGCTTACAGTTTTCAGTTTTGGTTTCAGGTACTTCGGCTAGCAAAGAGAAGAGCTCTGGATAACTGCCTGACACACACCATAGTTTTAGCCTGGGATTAGTTACTCTGATATTTGATATGATTTGATACATTGACAGATATTATGTCATTTTGAGTTACACGATTTATGGTTTTTATACGATGATTGGTATTCATGTTTCCTTTATTAATGATTTTAAAATGAAAATTTTGGATAGTTTTTTTGGGATGTTTCAAGTTGGTATCAGAGCCTTAGTTTGAGGGATTTGGTCACACTTTCGGGTGTGTCTGAACTCAAACTAAGGAATTGGTATAGAAATTTTCAAAAGGAAAGCCTTTTTATAAAAATGACTTTGAGAAAGGGAAAATAAATTTTAGAAAAAGCAAAAAATAATTTTGAAAAAGAGAAAAGGGTGTGGTGCATGCAATCAGTCGAGCTTAAGTAAGTACTCCCAAATTATCCATACAAGTTTATGTTATGATATGAGAACTGCATGCTAGAGTAGGACAAAGGATCTAGGAAGGATACCTTATGTGCTTGTTATATGTGTATCAACTTTATGAGAATTCATTGCTAGATTAGGGCTAAGGATCTACGGAGGATGCCTTATATGCCTGTTATATGTATCTTAGCTTCACAAATTGCATGCGAGTACAAATTATTCAGGGATGGTCTGAATGAGATATGCTTGGTTATGTTTACTCAATGCTTGAATGATGCTTGCTTTGTGCTTTTAGGAGTTCTAGTTGTCTTTTACTCACTTGTAAAAGAATATGTTAAGTTACATATTGTGAGGACTAAATAATTTCAAAAGGTTAGGTCTAGCTCTATTTCGCAGCTCTTGTTTGAGTCCAACCTTTGTAGGGTAGGATCTCTTATTCGAAGAATTATCTAGTCTTGGTGATATGTAATGGTATTCACAAGCTAGTAAGGCGGATAGTGGAATGGTGATTACCCTAGCGCAAGCCTAGGCTGAGAGTAGCACGTGAAGCAGTAGTAGTAGAAGTGACTTGGTGAAGTCAAGGCAGCTCTAGAGGAAAGTATGGATAGATGTGGAAAGTAGTATGGGCCCGTACTACTGAAAGAAGAGGATCCATACCCAAGTCAAGGAAGGATAAAATGAATCCAAGGAACTTGTAGTATATGTATGATCCCTCGAGATATGATTAGTATTCTGATATTTATTATGATGTGTTTTTCAGAATGTTGGTTTTACGCACTAGACCAATCGGCAGTTCAGGTGCCGGTGAGGGATCGGGCTCGGGCTCAGGATTCAGGCAGCTGGATGACCAGACTAGGGAGTTCATCTCCTCTGAGATCACGCGCAGTATCCTGGATCAGAGTCCTGTGATATTCGACACGATCAAGGAGGGTATTTTGGAGCTTCTAGACGAGAGATTTAGTGCTTTCCGCACTGAGTTTGCGGCCATGATGGGGTCGCACACACTGACATTTAGGGATTTCAAAGCTTGTAGAGTTTCCGACTACCATAGGGCTCAGGACCCTATTCCGAGCATCAGATGGTTGGCGGACGTCGCTAACGCATTCCGCACCAGCAGATGTACCAAGGGGGACAAGGTTCGACTGGCGTCTTGTCTCCTGAAGGACAGGGCACGTGAATGGTGGGAGGAGGACGGACAAGCCATTGGAGATGACTGTAACATACCGAGTTTAGGAGTGCGAGTTTAAGGTTCAAAGTGAAAATGTGGATGGTCAACTCGGCGAGTCCATGGGTAGACTCGGCGAGTAGGTTCACGATTCTGGTCGCGTGTTAAGTGGCCAACTCGGCGAGTCGGTGGTTGGACTCGGCGAGTTGGTGCTGTGTGGAGAAAACCCTAATCCCAGGGGTTGAGCCCTATATAAAGAACATAATACCCTCTCCCCAGCCTCTTTACTCTCCCTTGAAGTCCAGAAACCCTAATATTCGTTTGTGAGAGAATTAGAGAGCATTTGGATCTTGAAGGAGTTTTTATTGAAGAGATCTTTGAAGATTAAGGGGCTTGGAGCAAGGGGGTTTACAAGGTTTTGGCTTATTCTTATGTTGGAGTCTTCTCTTGAGGTAATAATTCGTTGCTTGAGCTGTTATCCATCTAGATCTATCATTTGTGGGATTTTTGGGAGTATACCTAGTGCTATCTTGAGTTTCGAGGTTCGATCTGAGGTTGTTACCTCAGATCTAGAGTAGTGATGATCCAAAAGAGCATAAAGTCCTTGTTCAAGAGTTGTTGATGAAGCCTTTTTGTCCCAAACCCTAGCCTAGAGTGTATTATGCTTAGATCTCCTTGGATTCACGTAAAGTTTGCCACTTTACGTGATGGATGGCTTGTGTAAGAGTAGATCTATGGATTAGATACCCTGCATGGCTTGGAAAGCCTCTATATGGATTAAGAACTAGAGGTACTCGATGAGTCACATGGGTGTACTCGGCGAGTTGGATGAAGAAAGGAAGGAA